ATTTTGGTGCTTTAAAGCTCTATTTTTGTGAGCTCCTACCATTAGATGGAGCTTTCCAGAAAGCATCAGCTGTAGTAGTGTGGAGAGGGATGGGCAGTGGGTTGGGCCCTAGAACTCCCAAGATTGTATATCCTTTGTTTTCCACTACCAGAGTGAGTAGGGAAGGACCATCAGCTGGGGATGGGGCTAGGCCTGTCAGAGCTCAGACTCTCCTTGGGTGGGTCTTGCTGTGGCTGCTGTGGGGGTTGGGAGTGAGCTTCCCAGGTACTGGAGTTGTATACTTAGGAGATTATGGCTGCCTCCGCTGAGTCACGCAGGTTGTTAGGGAAGTGGGGGAAGGCTGGCAGTCAAAGGCCTTACCTAGCTCTCACGCAAGCGAAGGGTCAGTCTCACTCCCAATGTGTCCCCCTCAACAGCCCCAAGTCTGTTTCCAGGAGGAGGGTGAGATGGGCTTGAAAATTTGCCTGAGGCTTTCTACTTCCCAGCTGTGAAAGAAAAGAGCTTTAGTTCTTCCCCCCCCTATGAAGTCTGCATGCCTGATTCACCTCCTCCCATAGTTCTGGCCAGGAGGTTCCTTGCCCCATTCAAATTGTTAAAAGTTCAGTTAGAGAATTCCTTTTCTCTGTGGAGTTTTATCCCCTGCTCCTCTGGCCACCCTCTGGATGGACTGTTGTGCTGTGCCAGGCAGGAATTGCAGCTTGGGATCCAGTGAGCTCCCAGGGCCTTTCTGCTGCTTCCTCTATCCCCATATTTTGCTTGGCTTTCTAACTTGACTCAGCTCCAGGTAGAGTCAGAAACTTCTCCTACAAACAAACTTTCAGCTTCTCCAGGGGGGGTCTGTATTCCCATTTTAGGTTTAATCCTTGGACGGTATTGAATTTCATAAACTTTGATCGTTTACTGTGTACCTTATCCCCAGACAAGCTTTAAATAGTCCGACTATTTAATTCCAGGTGTTCTACAATTAAAGGGTGGCCCATGTGATCTGGCATCAGAAAACTGGGCTCCACCCTTAGCTCTAAAACTTATTAGTTGTGTGATGGTGGACAAGTCACATAGTTCATTAAGCCTTAGCTTCTTTAGCTAAAGCATAAACAGAAGAGCCACCCTGCTTACTTGATAGGATGTTTATGAAGATCAAAAGACACTGTCTATAAAAATATTCAGAGTGTTAAACACGTAAAGCAGTAAAAGATGTTTATTATTGTCATGACTATAACAAATATACCATTTGAGGGGCTCAAAGCAGTTCTGTCCTACTTTTTACCTTTTCTGTTAGTATTTATTGAGTTAACACATACTAGAGTAGCACCTGGGATTGAATGACTGCTATTAACATTATTATTATTACCAGGGCATATTTTCTAAAGGCTTTCCCTCTCTCTTATAAATAAAGTAAAAGAACTGATGTCCTGGAGGTTAAAGTAAAGCAGTTCTGAAAGCAAGAATATCTGCCCACACACAATGGGATAACTTACTCTCCACTCCTACTCTGAGTTAATAAAAGACAGAAGAGTAAGAAGAGAAAATAAAGCTGGCAATATTACTCTGCTAGAAGAGTGGCTTAAAAGTAAAAGACTAAATGCCCCCAAAGAAGTTTCCTCCACAATTCTCTTTATCCAAAGCAAATTCAAAAGCTTAAAATTCTGAATTTTCTTTTCCCCTTTACTACTGTTTTTCTTTGTAACCTTAAAAGAGAGTCATTTAACCACCTGGTCTTCTCAGGTAAAAATCTGATACCTTTCATTCATCCAAGACAAACTGATTATCTGTTCATCAGAATATAACAAAATATAGTTTATTATAAGTTCCTCAAAAAAGAAAGATATTATCAAACCCACAAAGAACTTGGTGTTTTCTTTCTCATTACCTACTTACACCTTCCTCCTCCAAACATGAACACATGTATTCTGGTTGTGGTAATGATAATGTGGAAATTATTAAGTTATGAGAGTCATATTATAAAAGCATTGCCTCATCTAAAAGTTAAATATAATGTCTGAAATATGTAATGTTTTTAAGAGCTTACAAGTTCTCCATTCAGTAGGGTAGAGAATGAGAACATATATAGGTTGGGATATAAAGAAACATAACTTATCATACAAATAAAAATATATATATCTGTATCTATGATATACTATCTATAGATAAATATGGTAAAGGAAAAGAAAATTAGATATTTCAAGAAGAAAATCTATTTCGCTGAATGAGACAGAATAGTAAATAGGTCAAGGGAAGGAGAATAAAGGATTCTTTGAGGGAGAAGAGAAAAAACTAAAATGGTAAGATTATATAATACAACTGTGAGGATGATTTATCTTTTAATATAACCTTTAATATTATCTTTCCATGTAATCTTTCTATAAACTCTTCTTGGTGAGAAATAGAACTCAAAATACCTCATATTTCGGTTCACACAGACTTTGAGGTGAAAGAATTTTTAATAACATATTTCAACTTCTACACATTATTAGGGTTGAATTAAAATAAAGAAAAGCATTACCTGCTTTATTTCCCACTTAAAAGATAAGAAGGTGGAAAAAAAAGTAAAATTTTATATACATAAACATATGTGTTATATGTAATAAAATATCCTTGGAAAATATATTCTGAATTAACAAAGCAACAAAATAAAAGAAAGCATAATTAAAATTTCTACTAAAAAACACAAAAAGTAACTTCTTAGACTCTAATAGATTATTTTAAATCAGAGACAAAGTTTATGATAGTATTTACTTAACAGAAAAAGAAACACAAATATACATACAGGAATGCGAACTAGAGACAATAGGAGAAAACACATTACACTAAAGTCCCATATTAGTCATTTTTCATGCAGACAGTAAACACTAGTATAGTCTATCATAATGACATTGACTTACACTAAATTTTATGGGCTTATAATATGAATGTCTGAAATTACGTACTGTGAAGAAACAACAGTTATTCAGCATAGGTATCATATTATTTTAATGTCTAACCTTCTAAACTCTAGACATGAACATCATATTAATTTATTTAGGGAGCTGATTAGCTATTTTATATCACGTAGACACAGTCTAAGTTCAGCTATCATTTACTTTATGTTATTCTTCCTGTTTTCCAGGATTGATAATCAAATGCAAGCAAAGGCTCTATGAAAACACTACGTATATCATATGCAGTTTATGATAAGCAAAGTACATCTATCATAAATCTTAGAGAAGATGAGGATCCTTCTATTATTTGATCTTCACGAAAAAAAGTGAGCCTTTGGAGAAACGAATGCTTTATTAAAATTTGAAGCATCAATCAGCTCAATTTACACTAGGTTACTGCTTATGAATTATGACAATCATTTCACCTGTGAACACACTGGCCCCAGTCACTACCCATAAACTAGAGGTGGCTCTGTTTGTGATACCTGCTTTAAATGAAAACAAAAAAAGTCCAAGAAAAATCCTTCATTTTCTATGCTTTTAGACTTGTTGAGTTTAAATGCTTAGAAAAAAAAAGCATAACAAACAAAAAATACTTTCAGAAACAGAACACATATTAGATTGGTCAACTAAAGAATTCATATAGGATTATTACTGCATCTGCATCTAATTATTTGATGCTTGGTTCTAGCCTAGCTGCAATTCTATACTTCCACCAGACTGCAAAAGGTGAACACATCTCAGGACAAGTCATGATGTGCCAAATCCAGAGAACAAACAAGCAAATGTGCTTGGCACCAGACCAACAAATGGGCCTTAACAGAGTTGGTAAAGGTGAAGAAAAATGAAAGTTAATGTCAGAGAGAAGGAGGAGAGGACAACATATTAAAAATGTAGACTCAAAAGTTAAAGTCTAACGGGGATTATGATTAAAGTCAAATCCACAAAGTGTGTGAATGTATAGAAAATGAGTTTCTTAACTAATCTTGATTTAATCTACTGGCTCATTGGGTCCTAATCCTTATTTTTTAAAAAAATATGTTAATCAACTCACTCTTCTCAAATTATCATGAAATAATTCTTCCTATCTCAAGTAATTTTTAAAAATCAAGAGTCTCAAATACAAATGGTTTACATAGAGAAATTTAATTTTACATAGTTTGTATTTTGTTAATGAAAAAATGGAATCAATAGTCAGGGGGTGGGGAGGACTTCTAAGATGTGGCAGCTTTTAATCTAACAATATGTGCCTTGGGTACCTCATAACCTTCTCTAAACTGCATTTTATTATTTAGGATCTTAAAAGTCTACTCTGTGGAGTATTTGAAGAGTCCTGTATGGCCCTTATCATGATTTGAAATCTTCTATTTAACGGTGAGTTTATTTAATGTGTGTTTCCTCAACCAGCCTGTACATCCATGAGGATAAGACCCAGGTCTACTTCAGTTACTGCTGTAGGTCTAGTGTAACAGAAGCCCTAAAAAATGAGTTTAATACTGAATGAGGGAAACCTAGTAGAGCCCCAATATTTAGCCCTTCCCACCCCAGCACACATACAGCTTTGGGAATTACTCTTCAAATCAGAAAACAGGGAACTTTTCTGTATTTTTCACTCTCCTTCCCACTCAATCTCCCCTCTACCGTACTCTGGTTATGATAAACGTCCATCTCCTAATGTCCTTATCACATTGCTGTGTAGTGGACTGCACCAAAAAGAGAGGAATTAGTTATCCGTGTGCCCACAATCTCTGGCAATGCCAGGTGATTTCCTTCTATTTTACTTTCCAACCAACATCATAAAATGGTTTAGAAAAAAATGACATATTTAAGCTCAGCATATGAAGAAGCATTGGATGGTGCAAAAGAGAAATTATATGGAATCAAATAAAGTCAAAAATATAACAAAATAAATCACCTCTTTCTAGTTACAGATTACAGGAATTAAAAACTTATAAAGTTAGTATCTCCCAAAAGGATAATCCATACATTTAATCAGAACAAATCACTGAGTCTACTTTTTTTTTTTAACATAAAATAATCCTTTCACAATCTTTTCAGTAAAAGCCAGAAAGAAATACATACATGATGGTGTTAATGCCTGAGAGCTGTTGGAACATTTGTAGGCCACAACCCACAATTAAAGCTCGGCGAGTTGGGGGATAACTCAGCATTCTGCAGATCACAGGTCCAGCTTTTTTAAAAAAGAAAGAAAAAAGGATACATCTATTATTTTTAGCTCTCATAGTAATTATTCCCAATAGAATAAATTTTCCCAAAGCTTCATGAAATCAACATGACTAGGCATTTTAAATTTGAACAACTCTATTTTTACAGAAATCTGGGTGCAATGTTTTATGTTGCAAACAGATAGTACATTTTTGTTTTCGTTTGAACCATAAAAGTGACAAGAAATAATTTAAGTTTAAGCAATTTATGGGTACTAGGAAGACCTATATAACTAAAACTCTTCCTTAAATTCCTGCAAGCTCTAGCGATTAATCACTTTCTTTGTTCTTCAACTTTCTTGACAATTAAGTATTATTTAAAATCCATCCATGTGGGACTACTTAAAAGTCACTAGCAAAATCGCTTTAATCAACCAAAAGAAAAGTATTCATTACAAACAATTAAACAAAGAACAAAATTCATTTCATTTTACTAAAGTTACAGAATTTGGGCATGATGTCAGCCTTAGTAAAAGCTACAATGGAGATTATTAATAAAAGTTGCCAAAAAGTTAGTAAAAGAAAAACAATAAAAAATAACTATTATCTACCAATGTGTGTGTGTGTGTGTGTGTGTGTGTGTGTGTGTGTGTGTGTTTTGTGTGTGTATTTCTAAATTTTGAATAGTCCCCTAAGAGGCAATCAGTGGTTATTTTAAAACATAAATTGACTTTCAAAATGGCAGATATGCCTTGGTCTTTATCAGAACTCTGGATCAATTCTGGAAAGCTGTAGATCTGAACCACTCAATCCCTAAGAAGGGTTACTAACCTTATTGATGCCTGTTGTCAGGGTATAATAACTAAAAGTGGCCCTTCCAGCCTCAAAAGTGTTCCAGTTACAGTGTCACCTTAGCTTTAGGAGTCATTCTATATGGTGTCCTTAATGCAGCTAGAGTCCCAGGACCTTTATTATTCCTACTGTTAGAAGAGATGGCCTGGGATCATTGTGATGCTGATTGCTTAATTAGAGGTATTTTTCCTGAAGTCCAAGTTCTGCTAATGAACCCTAAGACAAATCTAATAAACTAAAATCCAAAGACATCTCACTATTTCTGGATCTTTTGAAAATCTAATAATTCACAGAAATGAAATAGAATATGTTGTCTTAATAATAAAAGTTAGTATGAGATGTCAAGACAGGGCATTAGTTAGAACTAAATATTATAGGGGTGAGAATATTCTATTCCTACATGGATATAAGTATAACCATAAAACTTGGGTTACTGCAAACGATTTTCTTTCTAAGTGGCAAAAGAGAACACAGATTAGTTCAGAGAACTGTTGATGGCCATTCAAAGCTAAATGTAATGATGATCCATTTGGAAAGCAGGCTGAGGGTATTATAAATGTCAAATTGCCTTAGATTCTAGCAAAGCAGTATCAAAGCCTAATATATCGGAACAACTGTGTGAAACCGGTGGATTTTGAGAGTTTGATTGTAACAATGCTGAAATATATCTGGATCAGCTGCCTGAAAGATAGGCAGATTCATCTGCAAATACAGATATCTACAAGTGAGCCACAAAAAAGCAATGTACTACCTTTTTCCATCAATCAAAACTGTCAAATAAGAGTAATATCATTTACTTTGTATACTGTGAATTTTTTTTTTCTTAAATGACAACAAAACAAAAACAAAAGCCCTTTCTCAGAGGAGAAATTAGTCTTTCCTCCTGCAAGAAGTCTATGATAATCTCTGGAGAGCTGCATCTACTTTCACTATTAAACTGTCTCATGAGTTGATGGTCAGGTTAGGTAATACTGATTGTGGAGGACAGAAATACAGAATATTTTGGTAAATTACAACCAAAGTTTGACTTGCCATAAAAACAAGAGATAAGCTATTGCATAAACATCACATATTTATTTCCTAGTTTTTAAAAATCTGGAATTTATATTTTCTCTTGTGGATTTCCTGTTAAAAATAAACGATGATAGTTCCTTTATTAGACTGGATTTTTTAATGGATAAATTTTGTTCCTAGCAGCTGCACATCTGATTATGCATAAACAAAATTAAAGAATTTCCTTTCATTAAAATTATAAACCTAGCTTTATTAGGCAGTAAAACTTACTTTACAAATGAAAACCATCATTAATCTTTATATCACAGAATCTATGAGGCAGAAGAAAAATATCAAGTATATTAATTGGCTGAATGTTCGTAAGTGAAAATTTAAAATGTCATGCTCTGCTTAAGACATTTCTTTTGCTTTTGTAATTAAAAATGTTTTGTGCATACAAATATTTCACATTTAATTTTCTTTTAAACGTTTATCCTTAAAACTAGAAATTCTCACATAAAAAAACTAAAACCTTTAACCAACTAGATTAGAAATTAAAGACCTAAAACATAACATATAATAAAGCAGTAGATTCAAGATCCTAAAATGAGTTCCTCCTTCTTTCTTCGTTCTGAACACCTCATACTACCAAGTTGCTAAGTAACTTGCACAAGGTTGCCCAGGTAGCAGAGGCTCTGGCAGCAAGGATGAAAAACACAGTCCCACAAGGGCAGCCACTTTTGTGGCTAGGTTGTCCATGAACCTAGCCTACAGAAGGTGTTCTGAGTATGAACAAAAATGCACTAAAAGCCAGTTTGTACAAAATCCCAGCTCTTGACTTTCACTTCTAGCTTTCCCTTTCTACAGGAGTCAAGTACAAAGCTATGCGAAAATGCATGAAACAACTGTTCTCATGCTAGTGGATAATAGGCAATGACGTGAAGTGATTCCTGAGATTTGGGAAACAAATGAGGTGAACTCTATTAAATTGTCCCAGCTCAGTATCTTAAAAAAGTTTCCAGGCTTGCCTCACAGGGCGGGAAAGCCAGGCAAACCTTGGTGTTTCCTTGAGTTGATAAAATGCAGCTCAGAAGGGATGCCAAGGGTGCTAGGGTTCAGATGGCAGAAGTCCAGGGAGGATAGATTCAGAGAGGGACGAGGAGAACTCTAGAGATCTTTGGAGTTACCCTTGAGTATTCAGTTGAGTACTGATCAGTGGAGGTGTGTGAGGAAACAACCCAAGGCAGGGAAAAAAGCTACTGGAAAAGATGAGGGAAATCAATCCCAGGAGCTCATATGGGGCTGGGGACAGTGCCTGTTTGATCAATCAGAGTGAAAAACCTGAAGCATAGGAAGCCATGTTCAGAAGGGATACACCTCAGTAATAGTGTAAATTTAGTCCTAGATTAAATACTGCTTGAATGTCATCTAAAACAGCATAAAAACAAGACTCAACTGCTTCCAAGCAGCTTAATAGTATCCCAGAACAAAACTCAACAATGAGATAAAATTTTATAATGTGGACATACAGTAAAAAATAACTAGGCATGCCCAAAGACAGGAAAATAAAATCTGTAAAGATAAAGCAACCAATTCATCAATAGAATATATAACAACCCTAAACCTGTATGTACTTAAAAGCTTCCAAATATTAATACTTGAAACAAAGACTGACACACCAGCAAAGGGAAATTGAAAAATCCACAATTGTACTCTCATATTTCATCACTTCTTCCTCAGTAACTCATAGAACAGGTAGCCTAAACATCAGCAAGGATAGAGAAGCCTCCAACAATACTATCAACAAACTTGACCTAATAAGTGACATTTAGTCTACCAAATAAGAGCAGGACATGCATCCTTAAATTGTATGGCCAATGTCTTAGAATATTTACCCAAGGTAGATTATATTCTGAGCTCTAAACTAGTCTCAACTAACTTAAAAATATTCAAGTCATATTAAAAATATCCTGACCTAATAGATAAAGATAATGTGGCACATATACACCACGGAATACTATGCAGCCATAAAAACAGATGAGTTCATGTTCTTTGTAGGGACATGAATGAATCTGGAAACCATCATTCTTAGCAAACTGACACAAGAACAGAAAACCAAACACCACATGTTCTCACTCATAAGTGGGTGTTGAACAATGAAAACACATGGACACAGGGAGGGGAGCATCACACACCAGGGCCTGCTGGGGGTTTGGGGGGCTAGGGGAGGAATAGCAGGGGGTGGAGGAATTGGGGAGGGATAACAGTAAGAGAATATCTAACGTAGGTGATGGAGGGTTGGATGCAGCAAACCACCATGGCATGTGCATACCTGTGTAACAATCCTGCAAGATCTGCACAAGTACCCCAGAACTTAAAGTATAATAAAACTAAAGAATATCCTGACCATAATGAAATTAATCTAGAAATCAGTAACTGAAAGACAACTGGAAAACATCCCCCAAAAAATTGGAAACTAAGTAACACATTTCCATGAAAATTAGTAAGTATATAAAACTGAAAGAATCTAAACACATAACCTATAAAATTTGTGGAATGGAGCTAAAGAAGAACAAATAAAACTACGGCAATAAATTCATAGGAAACCTTTAACCTTAAGAAACCAGAAAAAGACAGACAAATGAAAAGTAATACTAAATATCAAAATGGAAATTCATGAAACAGAAAAGAAGACAGTAGAGAAAAATCCATAAAATCAAAACTGCTTTTTTGAAAAGATCAATAAAATTGATAAGCTTTATGCCAAACTATGGTAGGCTAAATAAGGGACCCTCAAAATATATTCGCAGCCTAATCCCTGAAACCTGTATTGTCTTAGATGGCAAAAAGGAACTTTGTAGATATCATTAAGTTAAAAATTTTGAGATGGGAAGATAATCTGAGATTATCCAGGTTGTCCCTAAATGCAATCACTTGTATCCTTATCAGGGAGGAGGCTGAGGAAGATTCAAGATAAAAGCGGAGAAGATAAATGCAGAGATTGAACCTATACAGCCAAAAGCCAAGGAATGATGGGTGCCCCCAGAAGCTGGAAAAAGAAAGGAAGAAGTTGTCCTCTAGGGATTCCGGTGTGGGTGTGGGACAGGAGTGGATACCTGGCCATCACAACTGTGAGAAAATAAATGTCTATTACTTTAAGCTACCAAGTTTGTAGTAATCT